CTGGTTAGCAGCTGGGCACGTTCACCGCTGTATGACCAGGCTTCTGGTCAGTAGGGAGTCCTTGGGAGGGAAAGACGCAGCTGGTCAGCTGTCGGCTGCGGGCAGGTTGTGGGACAGGATGATGGGACACGGGGTGGGTACTGAATACCCAAACCACCGAGAATTCTCCTGGCCTGCACCCCGGGGTCTGCACACTGACACCACCTGCCCTGAGCTCCAGGGCTCCAGGTGAGGCCCCAGAGGACAGTAGGGCAGGGCCACCAGCTGACCACCGAGGGCCAGGGCTGGCAGGGGCTGCCGTCTGCTTGGCAAGTGACTACCCTGGCCTTCCTAGAAGCTTCCAGGGCCTGTCCCATTGGGACAGTGTGGTCACTTGCTAAACGTTCTGTGGGAGACTCAGGGCCTCCCTGGCCGCCTCTCACTTGAGACACTGTTCCGGACATCACGCCCAGTGAGCTCATCCCTGGGGCTGCCTGCCTCCCCTCCCCCACTAAGGCCTCTGGGCCGGCGTGTCACCTGAGTCCAGCTCTTTGAAGATCTCAGATCGCACAGCCCTCTGTCCACCCAGTGGTGTGGGTGCTGGGGGCTACCATGTGGGGAAGGGAGCCGGGAGTCGCAGGGAAGCTGCGCGGGGGTCCCTCCCGCTCCGCTCCCTCCCTGCTCACCAGGCTCCTGCTGGGTCTCTGGGACCCAGGCTTCGCCAAGGGAGGGGTCGGCCTGCCTGCTGCTCCTCCTCGGCCTGGTGCTGTCTGTGCTCACTGAGTCGGCAGGCTCTGGGCAGCGGGACAGCCCTGTGCATCTTCACGGTCCAGTCCCTGGCTGCTACTGTCCGGCCCACCCCCTCCAGTCCTCTGTCAGCAGCCCAGGGGCCGCAAAGCAGTGGTTAATGAGTTCAGATGCTCATCGAGAGGCACATGGTTCAAACCCACCAACCACTCCCCAGGAGGAAGGCAAGGCCGTCAACTTGCAGCCTCGCAAACCCCCTAGGGAAGTGTCCTGGACTCTCTGGGCCAGATGAGTCAGAACCCACCCAACAGGAATAGTGTCTCTCTCCCCCTCTCTTATCTAAAGAGAGGAATTATGAATTCTTAAACGGGACCAGATCTAGTAGGCCACTGGAGATCCCCTTGCAGAGGGGTCTCGGGGAGGAGATGAGCCAGTCAGGGTGCGATGTAACAATGATGAGAAATACAAC